GTACATCATTACGGGCAAAGCGTTATTTTTTTTTGCTTTATTTTTTGCTATACGGTCACTGCACTTAACAAAGACTATTACAGTTGCTGACATTATTTTTACATTTGCAGTTCACCTATAATGGCGATCATTACTTTCGGATTTGTAGTAGATACCGTATGATCATGCCTTTATGTAAGAAAATACAGCAATGTAAATACATATAATAGTACCTATATATAATATGACATGCTATGAGAACATACAAGCATTTACAAAATTAGGTACTTTAGGTATGCTAGTATAATTGTCATATATTTCACTTGAATCGTTGGTTAGTAATATTAACTTGGCAAATGTGCATTTACTATAACAAAGTTGTTTGACTTGATTTCATAATAACTTCTCAGAAAATAACACAGGCAATTCGTGAACTTCTGCATATCTTTTAATTTTACAAAGTCAATCAAGTACAATAAGAGTGTATTTATAATGTATAGACTATATGTTAAAGTTATAAGCTTAATGGTTCGACAGCAAAACTAGCAAAAATAGCATTCTGGGCAGCTGGAATTTTGCTGCTTTGAATATTTTGACTTGTATACTAAATGTAATACAAAACAAGGTTATTTCGAAACAATATGTATACTAGTTTTCGTTAAATGACCCGCTTAAGAAAAAGAAATTCGATTTCCGGACTCTAAACAAAATAATGAAAACGATTGAAACAATATAAGTAGTATAATTAATACTAACAACTGATATAGTGTAAAAAAGTATTGAAATTTCAATAAGAATTAGATCAAACTAAAATATAGTGTTGCTGTCTTGTTAAGTGTCGAATTCGTTGTTTGTAAAAAATATTAACAGTTTATAACGTTTTATTTATTGTTTTTGTAAAACTATTCTTATTTCGTTTTCCGCAAACGACAATTACTAGACGATATTAATTTTTTTTTTAACTCCTATTTTTTTAAAAGAAATTATTATTTTTAGGGAATTGATTTGAATAGTGATAAGTCTGCTTTTTTCAAATGGGTGTACTTTTTAGTTTATCGTTTTTGGATTAAGAAAAAATAAAACCAAGAACAACGTGAGCTGGAGCACATACGGCGCACGTGTCTTGTTCAATTTTCAAAAATAAATGTATATTTATTTATTATTTGTTCGACCACATAGTGAGTGCGCTAAAAAATTCCCAACACACACTTTTTTTATTCCCATATAGTTTGCCACAAAAAGCCTATATGCATTTTGCATGACTCTGCCGACCCTACTATACACACGAGGAGTACACTGTAGTAACGGGCGCGACCGGCATACCAAAATTCGATTTATTTATAATTTACCAGCCATTTCTTCAAAGTCTTAACGAGGTCATCGCTTTTACAACACACCACGATAACGGTATGGGCAAAAATTTGCAAACAATGCGCAGCGCCAGCAACGCTCGATGGAAAAAATTGGAATAAAAAAAAAACACACCACTATTATTACATGCGGGAACACACAAATCCTTCGGGAACCTTCAACGTCACGATCGCCCCCTCCCCTTTTTGGATATAATCCTGTCAGTCTTAAAGGTTTCACCGCGCATTATCCACGAACGTTACTACTGTGTATTTATTAAAAATTATTTATGTATTAAAAACGATTTCATCCAACTGAACTTGTTGTTTAATTTTTCATTAATTCATAATTTCAAATGTTCTCGACAACACACAAGTTGGACGCAAACCACAGTTACAAAACTATTATTTGAACACATTTATCATAAAATTGCATCTCTGCTTCGCTTCGAAGCAATTAAAACTCGAATTGTATTTTTTTTTTACACTATGATTTACATATTTTTTACATTTTATGTCTTTACTTTGGCACACAACCGGAAAAACCGATAGAAAATTTCCGATGATTTATCTGATAAGATAAGAGTGATAAGAGATAAGAGATAAGAGAAAAAATGTCAAGCTGTTGTAAAGGGATTGGGATGGGGATGTGTTTTAGATGAATTGACTTATTTATACCTACAATGAATACTAAAGACAAAAATCATTGCTACAACAAAACATGACAAATATTTTCAAATACATGAAGTTATATGACTTTGTAAACTATTAAATTTCTCCAATTAAAAAAAAAAACTTAGACTAGATTTTAGAAGTCAAAATTAAAAATTATTCTAAAGTAGGATCAGCTTGGCCAAAGCCGTTGATTTTCAAAACTTAAAACTGAGACGCATGTTTTTAAAAAAATGTCGAATTGAGGAATTTGTGTGGAATATGTTTTACTTCCACTTGACAACAGATTGACTTGTCTGCCGTTAGTGTTTTTTTTTTTTAATTTAATTAAAATTTTCCCAAGTCTGTTGGTTAACTATCGTTGACCGGATTAAACGCCATCGTAGCGTTTCTTATTAATATATTCATTAATTAATTACAATTATTAGCAGAGCGTGCCGATTATCTAAGCAAACGACTATGTAATATAATATGTATTAATGTAGAATTTTCTTTTTTTATTACCATCGTAAAACAAATCTTAGCGGTGTAATGTTACATAAAAAACAAGTTATTCATCTCACAAACTTATCGTTTTTATCAAGATGAAATTTAATTCAATTCAATTATTACACCTACAGGCTACATAACAATCCAATGCACCGCACCGTGGCAGATTGAGCCGGAACTTACATGTTTTGGCACTTGAGGTAATCTTTAGTAATCTTAGTTCCGAAGGAGATTTTCCAAGCAGATTGATGACTCACGTTATATCACTCCGGTTGCATTTCGTTTTAATTGATAATAATTAAGCCTAAACAAAACACTTTAAGACAACTTGATTTAATAATTAATTTATTCAAAGCTCGAAATAAAAAATTAAAAACTAAAAGGTTAAATTTTTTAAATTTATTAAAATAAAATAAAAATGTCTGTGAAAAAACTTTAGTTTATTATAAAATTGTCATTTTAACTTTTATTATAAACAGACTTTTTATAAAATAATTTTTATTTAATCAGTTTTTAAAATTTTTTTTTTTAAATAAATATTGTATAAAAACATTTTTTTTATAATTATCTGTACATATTTAATACAATAAAAGTACTAAATGTAATGAAACCCCTATTTTAACTTGAAGCTGAGGTTAAGATATTGCATTTGACCGAAGTAAAACAGCTTATTTTGTATTTATAATATTTAATATGAAACCATCATCACGACGGAGAGCCCAAATAAGTCTTAGTTACACTGACGCTATTTAAAATGTAATTAACGATTATTTCAAATCAATTCCAATTAAAACTAAATATGTATTTGTATGTTTATAATTTGACACGACCAGTCAATGTTAGTGGTTGTTAATTTTATTGGCAAGTGTACACATGAAATGCAATTTGTAATAAAATATACTTATGTGTGAAGTGACACCTATAATGTCGTTGTTAATCTAACCGTCGTATATCTGATTAATTGATTATTACAATTTAATTGCCATAAACGGCATAGAAATTAGGAATTATCAAACATATAAAATAAAAACCCATTAGTTTCAATAATACAAACAATTAAAAATAATAACAATAAGTACCTATAGTATAATGCCGGATGTGTGCTTTTTTGTGTTTGAAACACCGGCTGTGTTCATTACCTATAATAATATAACACACACACACATCACAATGTTATTATATTTTATCATTCATCCGGCTCTGTTAATATAATATGGTTTTGTATAGAATGATTTTCGGTCGTTTATTGGTTGATTACCGTACGTTTGATTTAGGACTAATGGCAGAATTTATTTTTTAGAAATAATTTAACAGAAGTTTTTTATTCCAAACTACCAAATTAAACCGTACGACAAGCCGTTTCCGTCGGTTGTTTTCTCAAACTGAAATAATTAAGAAAAACACTGCAACGAATTCTTCGGTTTGGCTTTGTTATTTTTTCCAAAACGATAACCGCAGTCGGTTCTGTTTATGTTGGAATTCAGTTTTACATTCGGACGGTTACACACAGCCAGAGTTGCAAAAAAAACAGTTTTTATTTAAAAATACAAAACTAGGTTTTTAACGTTTTTAACTGTTTTTAATATAATTTAAAAATTATGTTTTAAACATGTTAAAAACATAGTTTTTGTTTTATTTCAAACGTGTTAAACTAATTTCAATTAAATTTAGTATAGTATATAATTGTGTATAAATTATAAAAATATACAACGTATTTACTAAATACTTACCAATTCCGGGTGATTATTTTTTTTAAATTCTAGTTGACTATTTAATTAGATATTTACTCTATAGTAATAAACAATAGTTACATATAAATAGTTGTACTCTCTACAGACTATAGAGCAAATCCTTGGGCAACCCTTGTTTAATTTTAGTATTCAGTAATCAGTATAGTGTATTATGTATACATAAAAATAATACATATTTGATATTACTTATTATATATTATACCTATCTTGAAATCTGAATTCTGTATGTTTCAACAAATACAAATTAATTAAAATTAAAATTAAAATACCGCTTACGTGATAATAACCCGCTGTAACAGTGTTGCCAACATATAATTATAATTTTCCCACATTTTTTTTATCATAATCATAGGCTTATTATTATGACGTACGATAATAATCATATTATGATTACAAAATATAAAAACAATATTTAAAACGTTTAAAACAATACCTACCGTTTGTTTTAAACGTTTTGTTAAAAACACTTTGCAACTCTGCTGCATCACAGCTTATCGCCGACCGTCGCGTCGTGGGGCTTTGTTTTTTGTCTTTTTTTTATTATTATTGTTGCTATTACTTTTCTACTGGTTTTTGAGTTTGGAGAAACGTAAATCTGGTCTTCGAAAATCCGACGGCGGGAGCGCTGCCGACGACGGTTTACATATTATTATTATTATTATTATTATTAGAGAGGAGCAGGATATGAAAAGAAGAAAAAAAATGTGTACAAACCGGCGGAACGAGGAGGGGAAGGTCAGCGACAGAGCCACGGCGGCGTTCAACAGTCCGTCAGTCGTCAAACAACCGACCGGCCGAACCGTCGTCGTCGTCGCGTTCACCGCATTTTGCCACGTTTCCAGCAGCAGCAGCAGCAGCAATTATTCTTTTCCTATTATTATTATTTTAACCTTTTCCCCCTGAGAAGAAGAACAAGTCACACACACACAAATCCACTCGCAGCACACTTGCAACACAGAACATGACTTCTTGTTGGTTCCCAGTGTCGGTGTGCGCGGTGGTCGCGCTGTTGGCCGTCCAACAGCAGGCCGCTGCCGACCACCAGCCCGGCCACAACAACAACAACCAGGTGGAAACGCTGGCAAACGGGCTGAAAATCGAATACGTGTTCACGTTGGACGGATGCGAGCCCAAGTCGAAAATCAACGACATGCTCACAATGCACTACACCGGCAAACTGGTGGACGGCACGAAATTCGACTCTAGGTAAGCGCACAAAAATAATTGTCCAAATACACAGCCATATATACATACATTGCCAAGTAAAGTGAAAAAAAAAAAACATAATATTTTTCAACTAATATTCGCTTTAATAATTAGTTTAACAATAATTGGTTCTGTATTTGAAAATATTTTAGTTTATCAAACGCACAGCAAAAAAATAAACGTGCGAAATGTCAATCGGCGTTTTTTAATTAGTCGATTAGTTTAAACGATATTTATACCAGGATATATTGAATAAATTGTCGGAATTGTTTTTTTTTTATCAAATATGAATAATTAACTTGTTCCGCTAGTTTCTACGCAAAACCGGTTCGCGCGTCAATGAACGCATTCGTGAGCGTTCAATTCTTTATCAGTAGATATTTGTACAGTAAATAGGTAATATTATAATGATTATATTATTATAGTCGGGTATTTGATTTATTAAGCAATAACACTATTAATAATCGAGAAACGCACGACTCGCTACTTTCTCAACGGCGTGTATAGTACACCTAATCGTGTTTAGAAACTATTATTATCAATTAAAAATCACACGGGAATGTGTTTTAAGCAATTTACTCGATTCTTCCGTCTAGAAAAAAAAAATACTAAGAAAATAAAAAAGAAAAGATAAACTCAATGTGAAATAGTTAACGTTAAAACGTATATAATATAATGATTTTTTTTTGGGCTGCTTTGTGGGTCGTTAAAGTATAACAATATTGCAAGACGAGCAATTGCGACTAAAAAAAAAAACAAAATCTAAGGGGAAAAAGTCATTAATTTTAGATTGATTTTTTTCTTTTTTTGTCAGTTACTTACACAATCACCTCAACGTTTGTGTGACGCCTCCTCGGTCGACTGTAAATTAATAGCTTTCGCTCATAATTCCCATAGCGCGCGCCACTGCTATCTATTGCCGTTCTGTCCCAGTGGACAGTGTCTGTAGTAGGCCTGTGGTTTGAATAACACAGCATAACGAATTCATCGGTCTTGTACATTATTACATTGCACACTTATGATACCACCGCAGCTTATAAATAATAATTATGAACGTACATCACAATCCAACGGTTAGGTTTGTTTGCCACGAGTTTCGATTGGGAGACACCAGAAAAAAATGTATAAAAAAATTGTACCAACCTTTTTTGGTACAAGCACAAGTCCATAAGTTTGTATTGGCCGCCTTCAATGAGAAACTTAGGGTTAAAGTTCAATTTTCATCCCGTTCTTTGCTTAAGGTCAATGCATTTTTAATTAAGTTTAGGCCATCATTTAGGAGGTAGTCATTGACTAATGATTTATTTATACGTTTTGGGACACGGATAAGTGTATAGTAACTAACGGTTGTTGGCAAAATGTGCATAATATGTATATTTTATTCACAAATAAACCAAATTGACCAGTTGGTATTTGTTTGGCCATTTGTCACCGCTATATAATAATAATATTATTATAATATAATAATCTGTGGCTATTCGAGTTAGGCGAGGATTTGATAATAATTACTCGGTTATGGGACGACCGTCGTGATTGATCGTGTGAGTATAATAATAAGAGAAAGGAAGAGCAACGACCAAACTTTGCAGACAATGCTAAAACTTCTATAATGAACGATGTCGCCAAATTTGCCACGTCGATAAAGAAGACGTGTCGAAGATTACGCAAAAACCCTTTTAAAAACGACAATGGAAAGGATTTTTTTATTTTATTTTGTTATTGAGACAAAAAACCAAAGAGGGATAAAGGTATTTTTTTTTACCAACGTTACACTATACAACAAATAAAAAACCTTAGACATTGCCCGGATAACCTGATTCGATTAATCATATCGTTGACTTTCGAACGCCGTCGAAGTCACATTTTGTATTTAATCGTTTTTGTAAACACAAAACTAGTTTTAATTGTACTTAAATTTGGCACAGTAGTTTGAGGTGGGCAAAGATCTTTAAGATTTATTACGGCTGAAACATAAAATCGATAAAATCTAAAAAATACTATTTAATCTATCTGTCTGTCGATTGTAAAAAACTATTAAATATCAATAAAAAAAAAAATACTATAACGGCACTATTGCAATATTAATAATTGTGCTGTTTAATAGATCCGCATTCAGTCAAATTGTCAGACTTTAATCTCAAAAACTGTGTTAAAAATTGTGAAATATATCAATGTGTTTGTTATGTGGTGTTTGACTCATAGAGATTAGTATCAAAAGAATATTCTAAACAATTACAGTTGATTTTGATAGGAGAAAGGTGAACTTTTGGCAATTCATTTTCAAATGTATTTACTTTTAATCAATCTAGTAGTAAGAATTGTACTTTTGTGTGTCCACGCACAAAAATAAAAGTCTGGCCATTGTTAAACTATAATTATTTCTCAATTCCACATGGGACTTGGAATGCTCCTCGCCGTTTTTTCAAATGAAACTTGTCAATATATTATGTTTATATTTTTACCATAATAACAGGTAGTGTGTGACAACATACTCAATATACACGGTCTTGCTATAATATAGATATGCACATGCCTAATTCGGAATTCTGTTTGTAATTTTTTTTTTTATAAACTCTAAAAAAAAAAATGGTTTTTCAACTGATCCCGCGAGATGAAAACGTCTGACCGAGTAAGGTGTGTACAGCAGTACATTTTTGAAAAGCCGGTGTGAATCATTTGTCATGTGCAAGGAAGCGCATACACCATGCGTGTACCTACCTACCCCTCAACCCGGAAAGCTTTAAAAATGAAAATAAAAACCCACTAGTGTGTAATCGGTTCTCATTTTCATTTGGCAATGTGGAACGGGCGAAAATGATAAACGACCACACCTCGGTAGATAAATGTGTATATCGCTAAACCGTTTATAAAAAAAATACCTGCCCTGTCTTGTTGGTTAGGTGGCGTAACTTCTCAAGAACGTCATCATCATACAATGCAATACATAATACCTATAATACCTACATTTAAAAAAAAAACCCATATTGTCAGTATAGTTTCAAGTAGAACAAAAAAAAAACAGTTTTGTTTCACGCGGGTCACTCGACACCGGTATGTTTTTTTTTTTTTTTTTTGGATGTACAACTTAACGCTGATTTAACACATTTTTCGGTTTTGCCGTCGATCGATTATATATATTTACATAATAATTTACTAGCTTCTAAGCATTAGTATACAGAAGCACTTAAACCACCAGTGTGACCACAGAAAAATGTAAAAAGGTATTATCTATATGATAGTGGGTATAGGATTTTACCTATTATAAGATACTGTTGTCGTTAATATATTGAACGGTTTTTATGCCATCTAACTAGGCAGACTGACTTTTTACTACACCATAGCAAAGGGCCTTGACTCTGTACACTCTGGGCTTAAGTTCCCGAGCAAGCACCACTAGGTATATATATATATATATATAGCTGTTATCAATTACAGCATATTATTTTATACACGTGGTACACCGTTTTTGTGTTTTCGACGGGTTCGTTAAGCTTTCTCTGTGAAGTCTCGTTGAAAAGCGGAATTACCTTGTGCGAGGCTTCGCCGAGGAATTAATATTCACAAAACACAAACACAGCACGGGGCTAATGCTGTTATTTAAAACCGTACCTTCACCGCCCCAACTGAGAGCAATTACACGTGTAATACACATAATTGTGTATTTGTGTGTAATATGTAATGTTGTATAATAGCGGCGCTTGTCGTGTCTCGGGTAGAAATGCCACAAACTTGGCTAATCTATTTATTTTATAATCAAGACACCGGCAATAAGACCCTTTGCGCGCCGGCACTAGCTTAATACATTAATATTTTTATTAGCCTTTCATTATCTCTTGCCGATCAATGTCCGTAAATCGACTTTCTTCAACATGGCAAACCGTGTAACTTATCAAGCAAATATATTTTAAGATATTACACAATCGTCAAAATTTTCCTCTGCTTCACACAATGCTTAATATTATAACTATACACAAGTACGAGGCTAAATGTACGAAAATACATGTTTACTGGAAATTCTGCATAATTCATTTTTGAGATCTTCCAGCACGTTCTTCGTACGCAATCGTACGTGATTATTTTTAGGTTTTTTCTTTATCCGGTGGATTATATATAATCCGTACAATGATAGACTTTTTAAAAAACAACCATTTTTTAAAGCGCAAGACCCTCCCCGTAGGGTCCCTCGGGAATCGGTAGGTTGTTATCACGTAGGCGAATAACCTCTGGTACGGTTAGTTATGAATATTTCACTAGCCTCTTGATTAGAACGCAAGTACAGTAAGAGTTAGGGCCGTGTTCTCTTTTTTTTTTTTACCCTGTATTTTGTCATAGCTTTTAATAATATTGCATAGTTTATTTACTTATTATAATGCCACACAAACTGTGTGTACCTACTTAAATTAACATACACAGCAAAATATGGGGTCAGGTGAGGTAATTGTACACAAAACGGATATAATATCACTACAAAAAAAAAAAAACCAATTATTGCTCTTCCGGTGTAAACTTAAAAACGGCGCGCAATTTCTTTCTTTTTTTTTTTCTTTTTGCTGATCACATTTCTGCTAAGCCGATTGTCTTTTGTCGGGCTTTGCGCGGTGAGATTTATTCGTTTTGATCTCTCTGCGCTTTTGTATGGGCTTTACACGGTTGACTTTTCCCCATTGAATGCGACAACGGGGTAGCAAAAAAAATAAAAATAACTGCGGTACCTTTGGCAAAACGACGGCATAAAAGAACCCCACAGCTAGTCTTACACACAGCTAGTTCACAGCCGGAACTTTACATGGGGTTTGTCCATTAACTTAACGTCTAGTAAAGAACGGAAACCGAATTTTTCGATTAACCCGCTGCGAACGACGGCCGGTACACTGGCTCAAGGCGTTTTACCAAAAGGATTTATATCGAGCTCTGTGTTGAATATTTTATATAGAAAAAAAAAACCAAACAGATCTAGTACCCCACGATAAGTACAACCGTTGCAAAACCGTAAATAGTGT